CTGTCTCTTTTGCATCTTTGAAACGCTCTTCTGTTCCTCCTCCCTCTCGACGTTTTTTCACTTTAATGTTCCTCCTCACCTCTGTGAAGCCGGCAGTCAACTAAAGGGCTTATGATAACTATCAAAACGCCTGCCATTTGATATAAATACATATGCAAAATCAGAAGCGTTCTGCCACAAAACTTTTTTATTGTGGTGATAATAATTGGAATAACCTAATGCACCACGAAATGGAAAATTTGTAATCGCTTGAAATCCTTAAAACATTAAAATCTGGGCTTACTGCAATCCATCTTTCATAAATTAGCACGTGGATAATTCGATTAGCATGGCCTTCTCGTGATCAGGCTGGGATCTGCCAAGCGTATTTTTTTTACGCATTGAAAAAGTAAGAAACGATTATAAATCCAGAGAGACCAAGATTCAAGAATGAACGATATCACTCATCCCGTTGAAGCTATTGAAGCATCCCGTGACCTTAAAAAGGACTCACCAGAGGTCACCCCCTCAGACAGCAATTTTGAACAAAATTACCCCAAAGGCAATGATCTGCAAAGTGTTATTCAATCTATTCGTGATGTTGTTTCCTGTTGCGCCTGTTACACATCCGACTCCTGTATGAAAGAGTGCGCAAATGGCCATCTTATTTGCTTCAATTGCTTCCTAAATATTAGACAAGAAGATCGACCTCAGTGCCCCACCTGTCGAGCAGCCTTATTCCCTGAGACTAAACGAGCCCTCACGGCTCAAAAGGTTCTCTCTGAACTACCTGACACCTGCATTGATTGCAATCAAATTATGCTTAATAAGGAGCTTATTGGGCATCGATTGAACACATGCACAAAGCGTAGATTATCCTGTGGATTATCCCCACTTGGATGTGATTGGTGTGGCCCAGCAGAGGCCTACTCCGAGCACTACGAAGCGTGTGAAATTCGAAAGCATTTTGCGGAGAAGTCTGTGGAGATGACTTTAAATAGTGTTCTCTCCCGAATACACCTTCGAGATCAAATGTTAAGGGAGATATTCACTAGCTTTACATCACTATTTCGACATCTTGAAGGTTATGAATTAGACACCAAGTCCATTCTTCTCACTGTTTATAAAACTGGAAAAAACTCTGTCATATTTAAGAGTGATCAATTCTACGCAGGGCAATCTCGTTGGGTCATCAACTTAACGGTAACATTTTTAAACGAAAATGGAGAGAACGATAGTTCTGATGTAAATGTCCATAATTCAGAATCTGAAATACAAAATTTAGATGAAAATTTGAGTGAAGATATAATTCAGAACACGACAACTCATAATTCCATTGAAGACGCTGCCATTATTTCTCCAATTCGTAGAAGTTTTTCATTTCGCCAGAGAAGATCAGTCAGATTTCAAGGAAATTATAGGGCAAGACCATATCCAGATATCAGGCGTGAAAGAACCGATTCCAATAATAGCAATAGTTCAAATAGTGACCTGACTGATGAAAGCCAATTGCAGGGAAATATGAGCCATTTTGGCGAGCTTAGTTATACTATTGTAAAAGAAAATAGCCCTGGGGCAGGTAGAAAGAGTTATGCTTTTGCACCCTTACAAGTTGAATCTTCGGACACAGGTGCTCAGATCAACTTTCGTCCACTCGTTTCAACGCATCGTTTCTTGACGCGAGGTGAGAAATCGTCCGCTTTCCCAATACTGCCAATGAGGTGGCGATATTTATCGAATCTTCGAGAACTTCTGAATAGTAGATTACTAAACTTGGATTTAGTAATTGGTCGAAGGTTAGTAGAGGAACAATTGGAGTAATATTCGACGAGAAACTACTAACTGACCATCGTTTTGATCAAATCTTGATTGATATTTACAGTCATTACTACAACCGAAGTTGAGTTCGGGTTTCAGTTGTAAAGTGTGTTGAATGACAAACATACTACTCTCACATACACATGTTAGTGTATGTGAGAGTGCAGTTCATGTTTTAAATAAATAATTTAAACTTGAAAAGCGTGCTTGCGTTTTACAAAAAATTAAGACGAGCGCTAAATCTTTAGATGTACCTGTTCAGAGGAGTTGGAAGGCAGGATTGCGACTTGTAAAATCTAATGATTTCAACAAATCAAGAAGTTGGTAGAGAACAAGGATAAGAAGTGAACTGCTATATAGAGCATTTGAGAGGATGTAGCTTATTTGGAACTGAATACAATCCATTCAGAAGCTCACCGTGAAAGTGTTTTCCAGGCAATAGTTGTGAAGAGATGAGTCAGCAAGTTTATTGCTCAGTGTGCAATTGTCTGGATAACATAGCTATGCTAACATTGATGTAATTTCAAGGTCAGACTGAGTTACTGTGGGCAGTATTTAAAGCGATCTGTTAACAGTTGCTCTGTTGCTGTGTTTTCAAGTGGATGTGCCGAAAAATATTGTCACTCAACTATAAAAAATGTGTAGTTAACTTTGAGCGTTCACTTTACCTTCAATTTCAAGACGATGTCTGTGCAATTCAACTATAATGTCTAATCGAGATAATTTCATTTAAACAGTTTCTTCGGTCCCACACTAATCAGTGTGGCCTGGAGGTATTTTTATGGGAAATTAAATCATTTATCAGAAATGACCTTTGACCCTACAGGACAGCATTATTCGACCTGGAGAATGTTGTTACACCGTCCAGCTATGGTAATATTATTTATATTGATATCACGATATAAGATGATTTAAAACATTAAATAAAATTTAATTATAATTAGCTTCTCTTTCCATACTAAGTCATATGCTGATTTTAAGTCGACGAAAACAACCGTAAGGGTATTTCTTGCATCAAGGGCATCTTTGATGTGTTGGGAGAAAGTGGCTACTTGTTGATTTGTTAATCTTTGTGGCCTAAAACCTGCTTGTTCACTCCTAAGAATAATGTTAGTCTCAAGAAACCAGGTCAGCCTCCTGTTAACCATTCTTTCCATAAGTTTAGCCAGCACGCTTATGAGGGAGATAGGCCTATAGTTGTCAAAGTTGCTAGAGTCTTTGCCCTTTTTTAGTACTGGTATTACTATGGCAGCTTTCCATTGGTTTGGTCCAAGACTGGTCTCCCAGATTTTGTTGAAAAGCGTCAGCATGGTTTCCTTGGCTTTTGGTCCCAATCTAATTAGAAATTCTGGATGAATACCGTCTTCGTCAGGAGATTTCTTGCACTTGAGCTGTTTTATCGCAGCATTAAGTTCGCAAGGTCTGAATGGTTCAGTAAGTACATTATTTGGTGTTGCGTCTTCCTCAATTTCACCAAACTGTCTTACTTGTGTCTT